GGGGGCGGAGCCCTTACAATTTCAACGTGTCAACGGTATATATATATAATAGTAATAATAACAATACTTCATATCAAATGCCAGCACCTGTCCGCAATCATGCTCAAAATGGCATATGGAAGTCCACGTGCCTACATTTCACTTCGGAGCTGTACAGGGACAGCAAGAAATGGGTGTGTATGAACATAGGAAAAGCACCCAAAGACTCCTGAGAAAAGGCAACATTAGACTCATTAGACTAAACACCCGTTGGTTTGGAGGTCCCCTATTCCAAAACAAACCCAAATTGGCTCCTGGTCAATGTCACACACTTGCTCCAAAGAAAAAAGGGGAAGGGATGGGAAGGGCAGGGTCTGCTTCTTCTATACCATCACCAAAAGCATCACCAGCACCACAAATCCACAGAGTGTGAGGCTCTCAAATACGCGCTGAACTCAGAAACAACCAAACACCCGGCGTGAACGCGCCAAGCTGCCATGGGAGCGAAGGCCATGACAAGAAGGCCCAGGAGCATCCACAAGTCGCCCAAGAGCTGAAAAGCGATATGATACATCCCTGAGGCGTTGGACGACCAAAGGTCTGAGCAGGACTGTTTGTGTCATTGGTGACAAAAGCGACCTTTCGGGCGTTTGGTGTTAGTAGATTATAAGTAATTATTTCAAAAAAGCGGCCTGTGCACGAAGGTTTTGGTCTCCAGTTTCTCCAGTCAATTTTTCGTCGTGGCAATTCCTCTCAATCATGCTTTTCGATACCCAAGGTCGGGCTTTCATCCCACTGGGGGTAGTTATAAACGGGCACTGGAAGTGGCTGAAAAGCTCCCAAGCATCTTCTCATCTTGGATCGAGCAAATATCCCCCGCCTCAACCCTAAGATTTAGCCAAGTCACCCCACGTCATTGGGCAATACAGCAATGGTAAAACCACAACCTCGGACCGCTCCCGAAATGCAAAAAGAACAACACGACCGGTGGCCGCGAAATGCGCAGGTCACGCCGGCGAGGCCAAACGACGAGATTGACTGAGCTTCCAGCGAACATGCCAGGAATAGTGCTTTGTGGAGCAGTGACTTTCCTCAGGGCGACCATGGGCGACCAGCCCGAAGGGGCGGGAATATATGAGAACATTCCCGCTTGATATGCATGCTGAGTTCCATCCAAAAAAGAAGGATTTCGCCCAAAAAGTGCGCTGCAAGCACTTTTAGACAACACCTTTATTTTGGGGCCACCGCCCTACCTCTGGCGATGCAACTCCAGCTTCGCCTTTCACCCGGCAATAAAGGTCAAAGCTTTACCACCGAACTGGAGCTGTGCCACCGCCTGCCAAGGCTCACTTTCAAGGCCCCTCGAAGCAAGGCTGGAGCCAAGGCCAGGGCTGCAGGCCTCGGTTGGCAATGCAAACGGGAGATGAAGCCGCACCCCAACAGTGGAGCTTGGAAAATAGCTACTAAATAAACATGACAAACACTCAGGGGATTCTTAGTGACCACGTCCGGATCTCTGACCTCTTCAGCTCAACTAA